AATTATTTCATTTTTTGGTGCCAGTTGGCGGCGATTTATTGAAAGTTGCAAGTCCTGGATAGACCAGGACGGCAGGGAGAAAGAAATAGCCCAGACTTTTTCTCAGTTCACAGTTGAGTCGCCAGGACCCGCTGAGCTGGGGAACCAAAGGAAGTGCTACTCGAAATACACGGACTAAACAAAAATTAGGAGAGCACTTAATAAGGCTTTATATAATAATAAGGCTTTATTCAACTGTATCATGTTGTTTTGATTATTTTTTAGACTGAAAGTACTCTACATTGTTTTTCTCTCATTAAATTAATAAATGCAATATGAAGGAAAGTGATGTCACTTTTTCAATAATTAAATTAGTAAGAAATTATTTGGACAAAAAACAAAGTGTTTGCAAATTAAGTTATTGTCCTATGACTGTATAAAGTGGAAAATATGTAGTAGTTCAGGTTCAGTGGCCCCCTGGTGGCGAAAAACTGTTGCCCCCTGTTATATAAACTGGGGGTTGCCCCTCCGGGGGCCAGTTTCCGTGTGGGACGTTCCAGTTGGAACGGTTGTATTTTGCCGGATGATTTTCCTTAAGTAAAAGAATGACAACTCAAGTCCCCTGCCTCAGTGTGGATTGAACGGATCGATTCTTGGACACTCGGTTACTACACCCCCAAAAAGTTAAAACGAAAAGTCCCCGTACAGATTCTGGCCCATGGCCTAGTACTGGAGTAGAGGAGTGGAGGAGAAGTACAAGTACTATATAAAAAAAATTGACTTGAGTAAAAGTTTAAGTGTTTTTTCAACGCCATACTTAAGTGGAAGTATTGAAGTACTCCATTTTTTTGTACTTAAATATTGCAAGTAGAAGTATTTCAAAATTGCTACTCAAGTATCAAAAGTACAAGTACAAGTATAAGTAAAAGTACAAGTACTGTGTATATTAAAAAAGGCAGTCAAAAGTTTGATGGATATTGTTTATATTATTTCAAACGTGTGAAAGTCCATACAGGTGTTATGAAAAAACTAAAAACTACAAATGCATTAGCAATCAACAGCACTCCATCTACTATTATTCATTATTTCAGTGTCAGAATCATGAGCTGATCCTTTATGCTACGATGTAATGGGGAGCATACAGCTAGTCAGCTAGGTTTGCTTTAGCTAATGTTAGCTGCTACGTCCTAAGTGAACAGTAAGAACTGAACTAGCGCTTATTTACTATCTTATATGTATTGTTTAACTAACCTTGATATGCTTCTTCAGATTAGATGGGGAACTTTTGAAGGCCATGATTTCGCAATCTTTCGGGAGACCTTTTTTATAGGCTATGCTTGATCGCTCAAATTGCCCAATGATGAGCCAGCTTCACAAACTGTGACAGAGCTATCTACAGCTCTGACATTATGACTTGGGGATTATTCATTACGTTTACATATCAGTAACAAGTAACGATTCAGCCCGTGAAAAATCAATCGGAGTAAAAGTATTAAAATAATCAAAAATATGTGTGGAGTAAAAGTAAAAGTAGGGGAAAAAATATATATTCCAATAAAGTACAGATACTACATTTTGGTATTTAAGTACAGTACTTAAGTAGTTCTACTTTGTTACTGTACATCTCTGTTTTGATGTGACAGAATAAATCAGAAATCCTCTTTCCTGTCAGCACTCCTTTGATCAATGATCTGTTGTCAGCCCTGTCCAGTCTGCAACTTGCTTTCATGTTCCACAAAACTTTCATTCATCCCACATACCGTACTACAAATGTTTCATTTGTTCCACTTTTAGGATTTCTAAGTTTGAAAAGACCCCCCCAAGTAACATCTCTAAAAAAGCCTGTGACGGATTTATATTATCTGCTTTTTTTAATGTTGTCTAAGCTGTAGAATGCATTTTTGAGGATCCTGTCAAACATTTTAACTGTTTTTTGGAACAATATTATTAGTTCTACGTGCACTACAGTATCATGAATTTCAACATTTAATATGAAAAGAAATGAGAAATGACCTGCATTCTGAATGGAAGGCAGCTTTTCTAATCCTTTTTACAACTATTGGTGATTTTATGAAATTCAGATATTGTCTAATTTTCAGACGACCAAATCATTTTGTTTTCAAAGCTGTTTCCACCAACTATTAACAAGCCTAACAACTCATACCTGAACACAAGAGTAGTCAGTTTGGACCACAGCAGAAGGTCAGGATTCTTTTGTGTCAGTGTACTCAGTCTCCACTGACTAGTCACAGCCCTGCATCAAATATGGATATGGAGAGTAACCTGCCAGCCATGTCATTAATTACACCGTCTGCATCCATGCCTCTCTTACTTCCTGTCTCTAGGCTCTGCTTTGCATCTTGATTCATAGTTTGAGATCAACTAAAGGCCTTCCATGGTCTGTATACGGCATTATCATGTTACTAAATGTATTGCTGCTATAATTTTTCTCTATAATTGCAGAGACTTTTAAATGATAGACTTCAGTCCTTATTTTTTCCTCAAATAAATGAATTTAATCAGTGGCTTGACCTTTCAAGCTTTTGAACATTAAAGAGAAACATTTAACTGAATAGACACTTTAATCCGTTTTGTGTGACCACTTAATTCACCACATGGTTTTAAGGTGGGTGATGGTGGCTGCAGCCTATCACACCCGTGTTTTTAAACTTGTAATATGCATTTGAATTTGTTTCTTTCATACAGCATGTAAATCTGCTCTTGAAGGTCACACATTTGAAACCTGTGTTGAATGTTCCAAACACACCCACATTCAAATACACTCATGCATCAATGACATACAAAATACCAGATTTAAAAAACAGATATGTGTTGTCATACACTCACTTCATCTAACACTCTTACATGACGTGAGAGAAGGCAAAGACTTCAAACCTCTTTGGACACCTCTGTCAGTTCCTGTTTTGAGGAGCTCACCAAATTTAGCCAAGAAGACTTGTATACTGTATAGCAGTCAGACGGTCAATCACCTGAAGTGCTTGCAAGTCTGCTGATGACCTTCTTGAACCTGAGATAATACTGCACCAAGCCCTACATGTATCGATTTCAAGTACAAAAGAAGCACTGGAGAACCAACTTATTGCAATTTCAAAGCCTGTTACCCCTGTTCCTGTCATCCCGCCTTTCAACAACAAAGCACCTAGCATGCCATTTAGCTTTACATTTATATCCCATAACATCTGCCACAAGGCAATGTGATGGTGCTCCCAGCTTAAGAACCCTGGCAGGAACAGGCAGTGCTAAGATGCAAAACCCAGAAATGAACAGAACTCAATTACAAATGTACGTGTAATCCATCGGGACACAGAACTCATCATATCTGGGTCTTTGTTCATCTCTGTCTTTTTTACTTTTTTTAAAGTAAAAGTTGTCCATCATTTCTCCCAAACTGAATTATATAGTGGAGATTATTGAAAAGAATATAAATGCATTTAGAATACAAATGTGTGAAGCCATTTGTCACTGATCCAAAAATCTTTAAGAATCTTTAATGTGTACATTAATATGTATTGATATTATTATATTTGCCATGTAATTTGAAAAATATGCAAATGTTTCAGAGAGGATTATTTTAGTACTGTACCTAGAGAATAGACTCAAAAGAGTAAAAATGGAGGCCTTATAACAGATTATTAAAACATCTGAAAATGTAACTTATGTTTAGACAAATGTTAAGATAAGTACAAGATGTACTTTTTATATATTAAAAATGTATCATGTATTTGAAAGTACTAATAGAGGTTGAAAAAAATGCAGATTTCTTATTTTTTAATAAAATATGTGGTGGATATTCTATTTTTAAGCAAGAGTCTTAGTCCGTCTGAGGAAGTAAGAAATAGAGATTTATTAAAAAGAAAAACTTCATGAAGTGAGAGCAACCAGTATGATCATACAATTTGTTAATACAATGTACCAAGTTGCTCAAATCAAAAATAAAATCCAGATACATTTTGTACCCTCCCTGCACAAGGGGCGAGAGAGGTGTCAAACCTGTGACCCTCACACCCGTTCAGGAAAGGTGTAACTCCCATTATACAGTAATCAGCACATTTCACGGGGTCCACCTCCCATTGTCTGAAAATGTAATAGGCAGTCCCCAAGACAAAACATGTAAGAGATAAAGTATGTGAGGACTTTCTCTAAGTATGAGAAAATAAGGAAGATTCACATAAAAAATTAACAAAATAGATTATGCAAATGTTGATTTCCATCACACCTGATAATAAAAAAATACATTAGTCATGAATGTTTTCTTACTTAAGTAAATGTTTAACTAAACTAAAAGAGTTCTTTATTTACTAAATATATTTATAAGTTAAAATGTGGAATACAAAAAGTTCAAATTAATTCAGTTAATGATTTTAAAAAATAACTAGTTTTACTTGCAAATCTAATTATTTCGTAAAGACATTTTACACTTTATAATCATTTTTTATAAATTCTTAAAATGTCATTGTACATTGGAGTGAATTTCCATAAATGTAAAGCAGAAATTGATTTGCTGGTTTACTGAGTAAAGGGTGGCAGCAGATGACCATTTATCAATTATTCCTTTCATTTCCCTCTGGGATTATTAAAGTATTTCTGATTCTGATTCTGATTCTGATTTTGATCCAATTAAACTAGAAAACAAATGGGAATCTAGAGCTTTTACATATGAAATACCTGAGGTTCTAATAGTGATTCTAAGCATCTGCTGTTGTTATAAACGTGGGAAAGGAAGTGAAATATGGGCCCAGGGACTTTTAGATAGGTCTCTTGTAAGAGAATAATTTCCTTCTCACTGCAGTCATGAAAAAAATTAATTAAAAACAGCACTCTAAACTTTAATTCAGGTAAAGATACATATTTGACCTTGCTCAGTCCGGAAGTAGATACACCATCTCTGGTTTCAGATTTCTTGTAACAGAAAAAGTTCCTTCTCTAACAACTCTCTCTAATTGGAACTCAAGTACAGATACATAATTGAACTGGTTCAGCCCTGAAGTAGATGGACTTATCTACACCCCATCTCTGCTCTCAGGTCTTTTGTAACAGAAAAAGTTCTTTCTCTCACTGCAGTCTTTGATCCCAAAGGATTTGTTGCTGTTCTTCTCCAGGACGCCACACCTAAAAGTGGGACAGCTTGGAATGTTCTGGTACTGCAACTGTTCTCCACCCACCCAGAACCACTCATCACCCAGGAAACGCAGGCCTGTCCACATCTACCAACATTCAGCAGAGAGATTCATATTAACACAGAGAAATAGTTTCTCAAACATCAACACAGTGTAGAAAAGCACCCACCTCATCAGTGGTAGCCTGTTGTGCTTTCTCTCGTGCGTAGTCATGGTCATCAGCAGTGATCAGGGTGGCCAGGTCGTAGATGTTTTTCCTAAACGGAGAGGTTGAGTTCTCTTGGTCCCTTTCTTTCAGAGACCTGCAGTGTTCTAAGGCTTCTTCCCATGTCTTGTTCTCCTTCACCAGATCCAGTTTCTCATCAGAACAAATTAGCTCATGTCTCTTCGAGCAGGGATCATTAAACATTCTTGATTCTTTATCCATGTAAACACAGTCTTCTTTGTCAAGGAAATTTGGTTCTGCAAGAAAAGATAAGATGTTACTGCTGACTCTTTTTTCTTCAATTTCCTTTAAAAGGTTGTCCTTAATAACCCCAATTATTTAAGTAAACATGCATGAAAACTTTTATTCTGGATTTAGAGTAAGCAGCGCTATTTTTGCCTGGTTTTGTCCAGGAAACAGAATTACCACAATTCCTAGGGGCAATTTTAGAGTGTTCAATTAACCTCACATGTATGTTTTTTAGCGGTATGTGGAATTAGGAGTACTCCAGTGGAACTTGTGCAGACAAAGCGAGAACATGCAGAAATACCATTTATCCCTCAGGGATTCGAACTTTGAACCCTCTTGCTCTGAGGCATTGAAAACCCCACCACGATGCCGCTCAACACATTTTCAAAGAAAATCTAATACTGGACTAATCATCACTCAGTCTCGCCTGCACCCAAAAGCCCTGAGAATTGTGGTCGCTAGATCATACAGCTTCTAAATCTGGAACACTCTACTCTCACCTCTTTTTTGCTATACAAAACCATCCACTGAACTGAGACTCATTTGACTATTTTTGATCAGTCACTTTGCCAATAAACTGTTTTATTACCTCCCTTTGAGCCAATTACATTGATTTACACTGTTGATGATTTGCAGCTTAATCTAATCCTGAGGAAACTAATCCATTACAGAAGTCACAGACATATAAAAGTTTTGATTTTCTTATTGGTGATAAAATCTGACAAAATACCTGATTAAAGAAAAAGAGCTAAAAGCTTGGTCATTTTTGGGGTGTTATGGTCAGAACAGAATCAGTATAAAAAGCTTACCAGTAGCTGACCAGTTGGTGTAGTTTGATATTTTGTTTCCTTCTGACCATTTCCAGGTACCATTCTCATTTTCTTTATATAATCCGATCCAGCCCGACAAACCAAGGAAGACTTTGTCACTTGTGACTGTGGCCAGATCAATGTGTTTGTCCCTGCAGAATTTCTGTGCTTCTTTCCAGGTCATATTTTCTTTTGCATAGTGTTTGAGGTTAAAAAGTGTGAAGCCAGACTGCTTTCCACAGACAGGGGAAACGACAAGCAGCAGGGAGACAATGACGCAGATGCTCATCTTCTTTACTGAGGGACGTCTTTGTACCTAGTTATAAAAAATATGCTGATTATCATTTTAGATTTTTCTTGAAAGAAAAATATGCAACATTTCTACAACAGTATGAATGAAAAATTTAAATTTAACACAGGCTCAGAAATGGCAGTTTAGGGTTAGTTGTTTGCAGCAATTTTCAGAGATTTTACTCTGATCTTTTATAATAAATAAAAAATCATGTCCATAGAAAATCATCCTCCCTGACAGATATCAGCAAACTGTGACCAATAATCTTGTCCAGTCTGCAACATCAACACAAAAGTCAACACAAAATTATTTCATAACAACATAAGAGTTAAGAAGAACGACACCTAGATGGATACAAACACTCAAACTTTAATTCATTGCATGTACTAGAAATTTTGATCTTTTAAGACATTTTTGGTCCCTTTTAATTTTATTCTTAATGCTTTTGACTATATTTGGTGGTTTCATGAAGTTGATATGTTTTCTATTTTCCAAACTAATGTATTTTGTGCTAAAGCTACTTCCACTGAGACCTTTTAAGCTTAATAGACCAGACCGGAAAACAGAAATACCTCACCTTGGGCCACAGCAGCAGGAAGACAGCTTTGATGGTCTGCTTCAGGTAATGATGTTTCTGTATCAAAGAACTTAGTAAAAAGGCTCCACTGACCAATCACAACTGTCAAATCTGGCCAGATATACAAAGTAGCCTGCCACAGCTACCACCCCACCCCCACCGTGCTTCCTGCTTCTAAATTCTCCTTTGCATCTTGTCTCAATCCTTTCAGATTATGGTTTTGAATACATAACTATTATGTTCCTAAAGCAATCTGGTCTATTTCATATAATTCATTTTAATAGTTAAACAACTGTTTTTGTCTTTTAATTTTATACTGTTATTCTACCCTCAGCAGTTGTGGTACATTTTTCAATGCCATCCCACACAATCCATTTCAGGATCATGGAGTGTTGATCCAAAATGTAAAGCAGTATGGGTGTTATTGTTAGTTGGTTTTCATACAAGGTCTAACTCTGCTATGACAGCCACATTTCTTGTAAACCTTCTTTGAATGTTACAAAAGCCAACACCATTGAAATCCTTCGATGCCTCAGTGATTGATGGCCCAAAACCACGTCCGCCTTCACTTTTGCAACTTTTTCATAATAGAAAAACAAAAACTCCAGGGTTCTATACAAGCAAACTTTTTTTTCTGTACAGCCACATACTAATATCATAACAGAATCAAACATGAAATAATTGTTCTAGCATACCACATCCTTCCCCACAAAAATTATAAAATGTTAGCAAATTATTTTACTTTAGGTGGACTGTACTAACATTTGTTTAACATTAAACACTCATCAGTTTACAGTGATGTCACAACAAATACACTCCTGGTGATTACATCAGCATGACTACAGGATAGATAGCCACTGTTTCTTTTCCTTCTTAGATGTGTTGACTTAATTCTGTTGTAGGGCTGAGAGCCAGGAGGCTTACCTGTGGGACACAGTCGCACGTGTGTCCAGCTAATGACACTTCAATTCAGCACACCTGTGGCCAGTTACCTGGGGACTGTACCTAAGGACGCTTGGATCATGAGTCAGTGCTCTGATGTTCAACCCATGTGGTAACCTTGAGCCAAGGTCCTATAAATAGTTTATAGGAAGCTTAAGCTTGTCCTGGCTTAAACTGTACTACTTTAACTTTAACTCCACTAAATATCCACTACAATAAGCGACATGGTGTGAGGCCGCTCACACCACTGCAGCCAGGAAACCCTGTTCTCGCTAGGCTGGACAATCAGAAGACCTGGTCCACACCTGCAGAAGTGGTTGGGGAAAGTACAACAGAGAGATCATATGTCATCGCTACAGAGCAAGGAGCCCTGTACAGGCAAAATCGTCGTCATCTCCAAGCACTGCCTGAGATGGGGTCCTCAGTTGAACAATCTGGTGAACCTAACACACCTGATGTTCAGGCGAGCTCTGGAGGTAGCTCTCCTGGCCATAAGAAGACCTCTAGTGGACTGTCTCAAACCAGATCTGGTAGAGTTGTTAAACCTGTTCAAAGACTAGATCTGTAATGGATGTAATGATCAAAAGGTTCTAAAGGAAATCTGATATTGTGTTGATGCAATACTGTTTGTTGATGAAGCCCAAAATGGCTGGTTATTGAAAATGAACAAGGATGTTACTGTTACACTGCAGAATTAATACTGTAAGTATTAGTGATAATACTGTTTGCCAATGTTATTGTTTTTTTCGAAAAAAAAAGGGGAGATGTCAGAAAATGTGTTTTGCGACATACACTTTACGGCAATTAGGTTAAGACACGGAAAGCAGGTTAGACGCGGGAAGAGTTGAATGGCCGCCGATGTTCTATTATGACGTGTGTTAAGAGAGCACTTGTTCAACAAAAGCCCGGAGTTGAAACTACAACAAGGAACTCATTATTTTAAGATAAACAAGTATGTTTATCACACTGGTAACTCGGCCGTTAAAAAAGTAAAATATAATGAAATTTGATTAAATAAAATAAAATAAGGTGAAAAGAATTGTTACGATGCATTTCCACTGCATGGAATCACCCCCCTCGGAATCGTCCTCCAGAGTAGAAGTTTGTTTAGACAGAGGAAGTGTTGAGTTTGTTTCTTGATTGATTTTTTTGTCTGATTGCTGAAATTGGAAGAGTTGCACACAGGTGCTGCTCATTACAAATGAAAGGACTGCAGGTTGCTCTGGTCAAGAGGATGCATGCCAGTCAAATGAACTCAAGACTGTTTAGATATTTAAAGTTCCTCCGTTATGTAGGACCATCGGTGTTTCAAGTCCTTTTATGATGGCAGCGTCAACAAAGTGGATTCCGGGTGATTCCATACGGTCGATATGCATCGTAACGCTTTTTTCCCCTTTATTTTTTTTATTGTATTTACATTTTTAACGCCAGATTTACCAGCACAGGTCTTTCCTGCAGCACAGCGTCCAAAGCAGTTGAGAGAAATGATAGGGAATTTTTATGTCGGAAAAAAAAGGCGCATCAAGAATTGAATGAACGAGGTATTGTGTGTATTTGTTGCGCAGACTTAGTATCTGCCGCGAAGAATAAAATAAAGTATTCAGTTGGAAAATGAAACGAAAAAAATCCCAGTGTGTTTGAGTTTGAAGCGAGTGTAAAAAGAGAGAGGTGGAGCAGAAGTAAAAGCTTACAGCACCTGGTATTCCCAGGCGGTCTCCCATCCAAGTACTGACCAGGCCCGACCCTGCTTAGCTTCCGAGATCAGACGAGATCGGGCGTGTTCAGGGTGGTGTGGCCGTAAGCGAAGGAAGCACACACAAATACTGGTTTTCTATCTGAACACACTGCCCTGGCATGGAAATCGGTTTTCGTAAACATGTTTAAGAAAATAATTCCACCAGAGCTAATATAGCAGCACAAAGGAAGCAAAAATAAGGAGCAATTATCATCTTTTCACAAATGTCCCATTTTTCTAAAGAGTAAAATCTTTGTTTCCCACCGTCATGACATACCTGAACATACAGTAGTGAAGGCTTAACCTAGTAGCTAAGGAGGCATGTTTACTTCTAACATGGAGATTATTCATTGATAATTGTGTAACAGACTGTTCGGTGTTAGAATGGATAAGAAGGCGTGTCCCTTCCAGTGGCCAGAGAGCGAGAGTTCACTGGGTTGACAGCAGGGGGAGCGCGTGAGTGTTTTTGGTGTTTGCCGAGAAAAAGAAGCGGGGGTTACCGCTGAACACGCTGTCACGTCTCCTGTCCGGTTATTGCTCGCAAGATAAATATATATAAATCCAGTTGCCCCACATTGACGAACCCAGAACGCTCGGCTACAATTGTTTGAGGTGCAAAGGTTTCATGGATTCATTGTGAACCAGAAGAAAGAGATGGTTGATATTAAAACAAACGGAAGACACATTTTATTTTAAGTATGAGTGAGCATCTAATAAGTTTAATTTATTTTTTAATCTAAGTTTTCTACCATTTTCATATTATTACATAGGAGGCAGGAGGCCCTCTATTTTGTTTTTTATCACAATGAATCCATGAAACCTTTTCACCTCAAACAATTATCAATTCATCTTCATGTTAGAAGTAAACATGCTTTCTTTGTGAACTGTAACTACTGTATGTGCAGGTTGGGCAGGGCAGTATGTGTTCAGATATAATTTGAGTATTTGTGTGTGCTTCCTTCGCTTACGGCCACACCACCCTGAA